AGTATAGGCGTGGATACACTTTGATTCTTAATGTTGTTTTAAAGTCTTTATGTATTGGAACCCGATAGTCTTTTGAGCCCTTTGAAATACTATGTATAAATGTATTGTGTTTTAACTTATTGTTTATTTAATTGCTTTATTGTAAATTACCTTTATAATCACAAGTTCAGTAAAGCATGATAGATATGTCAAACGTGTGAGTGTTTTACTGTAGAAAGATATAAAAATGTACCCCGTTCTAGCTGAGCTGTCAGGCACAGGCTAAGCTAGGGGAGGTACTTTATCAGGTACTGTTCCAGGAGATCAGAATTAGACTGAGAAAATGTGAATCCAGTTCCAAGTGTAAGCACTCACTGATTAAAGGCTCCAGCTGGGCTGCAGTTGCACACACAGCCCACTCTGCTGCCTCACACTGCCTTCACAGATGCAAGTGACCTAATCTTTAACCCAGTGCAATCATCTGGAAACCTGTAACTCCTCAGCACTGCAATCCCAGAACAATACCAGTCTTTCTAGCATTTAACCCATCTGACAGTCATGTGGTCTCAGTGTGCATGCACACTGTGACCATCAAAACATGAATTCTCCACATCCAAAACCCAAGATCTGTGGATAGATCAGAGGACAGCAATGCTACCCAACAGGCAAAACAGTGGGGTTTGTCTGGCTCCACCCAAGCTTTCAACCCCATCTCTGGCCATTTAAACCTCACTGGCCTCCTGTTTTCCCCTTCGGCAAAATAAGTGCAGTATTTCCTTGTGTGACCCAGAGAAGGGATCCAGGGAAGCCTGACAGTGCCATGTATTGCTCTGCAGCTTTTGGGAAGGAAGTTATGAGTACTCCACAAATGAGTATAATTGGTTATGTGTGGGGAGCATTTGCAACACTCAACAGGATAATACTGATCCTTACAGAGGTGACTTGCAAACTTTTCATGTCCCTGTGGTGCCTGAGTGGTAAATTATTTTGTGTTTGCAGTAGAGATTCTAGAAGCTTCATTAAGCATTACATTAAGGAAGAGAACATTAACAGATCATTTGAAGTAAATATAATCCCCATCTAACAAAGATGGACATGACAGCATCTTGCTTATATTGCCATAACTTTGTCTTCCATGTTCTCCGACCTTCTTGGGTGCCTGCAGCCATCTGGCTTGCCTTGTCACACTGCTGCACTGCATATTGCTCAAATGTCACTTTCAAAAGCTTTTACATTATAGGGACACTAGGGCCAAAATTACCAGTTGGAGATATTATCAGTATAAATTTTACACAACCATGGACTTTCATATTTCCTGAATATCTCTTCTTGGGACTGAAACAGATTACAGAAAATTTTATTCTTACATCAAAAAATGTCTGTGCAGGGCCAGGAGAGCAGTATTTTATACCTGATGTTACCAACTTCATTACAATGTTGGATTTTCCTTTCACAGCCATTATTGTTTAAATGATCTTTGAGTGACACTGAAATGCACCATAATTTAGAAGAAAAAGTGATCTTCAGTTCTAGATGCATTCACTGTTGACTTTGTGGGGAGTTTTTGCAGCAAGAGGCAACAAAGCGGCAAAAAACTACACTTACACTTAAGATGCCAATAGGCTGATCTCATAACCAGAGCGATGTCAAAGTTTCTTTCTGCCCTGAAGATTATTCAGTCAATTCAACTCTCATACGACTCTATGTTCAACTCTCATAACTACTACGCTCAGCGAGAGGTGACAGCATTCCAATCACATTCCTGATAAAAGCCTCCACCTTTCCTCCTCCACACTGCAAGGACATAGCTCAAGATACCCTTTGTTAGACCACACCTGAATTACTATAATGCACCAGTCCCAGACTTTGGTCTTTGTTCCACTATCCACAGAAAATAAGCCAGCTGTTGCTCCAAACATACCAACTTCACTTTTTTCCCCTCTAACAGTACACTTAAGTCTCAGTCATGTCTCACCTGAATCTCGCTGGTGCTGTACTAGGAGCTGTACAAGGTGCTGTACTAGGGGAGGATCATCAGCCTCCAACAGTACAATAAAAACTCCCATCCTTTTTTTCTGAGTTTAGAAATTACTCATACACACTCCCCTACCCCACTGGAAAGTCTTATCTCAAAACATGCAGGTGAGGAGGACATGCAGCTCATACACTATAGGTAAAATAGTGAACACTTGAATTTGGGCTTAGGGCATAGGCACAAAATCAGCTTCTTCCTGGGCTGAAGGGAAGCATGTTCATAATCCCATTACACATTTTATTTATCATCCAGGGACAAAAAAGCCCTTCTTTCATATTAATCTTAGGAGGGACCCAACATACCCTGTTGCTGAAAATGTTGAGGCTCAGGCATTTGACCCCCTTCCCACTGGAGAGTCATCTCTATCCTTCATAAAATCACAGAACGCATCAGGCTGGAAGGCACCACAGTTGGTCATCTGGTCCAACCTCCCTTCTCAAGCAGGGAGCACATGGTACAGAATTGCATCCAGGAACTCCTTGAGTATCTTTAGGGGTGAGGAGACTACAACCTCTCTGGGCAATCTGTTCCAGCGCACACTCAACTCAAGTAAGGAAGTTCTTCCTCATGTTGAGGTGGAACTTGCTGTGCATCAATTTCTGCTTGTTGACTCTTTTCACCCTTCCTTATGCCCTTCTTGCAAGGCTGTTCCCAACTTGTAATTACACATTTCTCCTTCCTTTCCCTGCAAATCAACTCTCTCTTAATCTCCAATGCCTGAAACATATTTAGCACTATTTTACGTATACCCTATATAACTGAGTATTTCACTCCAAATCCCTTCAGACAAATGAACACAGGACCTGGCAAGCACAAACAACTACAGCACAGTCAAGGAAAGGATTTTTCAGTCATCCTGGCAGGTCAATCCTCCACAGTCAAGAATATCAGTGAAAGCAATCAAGTCCAGCTTTCAGCCAAGAAAGAAAAAAAAAAGAAAAAAAACCACACATGGCCAACAAGTAAAATATGAATGAGAAAAGGGGGAGCATATGGCAGTAGAAGGGAAAGACAAGAAATGCACACAGGGGTGTACAGGATCTTCAGGAAACTCAAACCAATGGAAAAAAATAGTATCAGAGCAGCAGCCTCAGTAAGTTTAGCAAAAGTGTTTTCATATTTATCAAGGAAAAAAAATCAAGATATAGGAAGGAGGAAAGAAGAGAGACCACAGGAGTGAGACGAAACATACTAATGCATGGGTTATCACCATTCAAGAGACTTCCTCCAAGAGCAGCGTCCTCCCTGCTGGCACCATGTCAACACAGGGCAGAGACGGGAGGAATCTCTAGAGCAGCTGTGCTCAAATTTGGCAGGTAGATGGAAGAACAGCAAAGCAGTACGCAGCAGGAGGGAAAAGCAATGCAGGAGTCCCAAGCAGAAGGTGGCAGAACTCAAGGGTTTTTAAAATGGCCGAAGGCTCAATGATCAAATGTGCTTTCATGATGTATTTAAGGGGCTTTATTTGCAACTTAGTAAATCACCCACCTGTTGTTATTTTTAATAAATAGTATCGATTTACATCTATTCTATACTGCCTAAAAAACAGCAACTGCAGTCACTAATTTTCTAAAAAATAAGACATAGCTTCCAACAGATTTCACTTTAAAGAGGCAGTAGACAGCCAGTTTTCTTGCCCTGTGTCAGCAATAAAGAATTGTGACTGGTACCTCCTTGCTTTTTGAGTGCTGTTAAAAGGACACAGATTGTTATTAAAGCTTATTCATAAACTTTCTCATCTCCCAGCCCTTGTCAGATACTTCAGAGGTGTGCACTAGAAGCAGATTTACTTGCCATACTGCTGCAGTGAAGTCTGCGCTTGAAATAATCTGTTCTATTCCAGCCAGAAGACTTGTGCAGAAAACATGCATGGCATTGTTGGCTTCAAAATGTATTTCAAAATTTAACATCTGAAAATTGCTGTCACATCAGTTACTTGTGCAAGATTTGAACCTATATGGCAAGTATACTTAACATTTTTTAAAAACTTTTCTCTGTGACTAAAGCCATTAAAATTAATTCTTACTGTCTTGTTTTCTCAATTACTTGTACTCTAAGCAAAACTTGTGCCAGACCTTACTAGAACTTAGTTACAAATTCTATTTTTGTAGGCAGGAAAGCTCTAGTCACATGCCCCCTCCTCCCCTTCCCATTCTCTTACAACTGACACTTCCTGTGCTGTCCCTGGATGAACAGGAAACAAGTCTCATGTGCAAAATGTGACAATATCACTCATCTGTCATAAGGTAAGAAATCCAAACAACCCACAAATCAGGGATAATAGCACCCACACAACAGAACCTGGAAAAAGCATTCACTGAAGCACTGGGCTGGATGAAGCACATAGACCCCAACCCCGTCCCATCTCCCTCTTTCCAGCAGACATTGAACTTTTTCATTAAAGCACTGTTGCTTTCTACTGCACATATACCATTCATGCTTCACCAGGGGAATTACAGAGTAAACACATACAGAAAGTGTGCAAAAAATGGAGTTTGAAAAGTGCTTGTAACTGAACTGAGAATTTTCACACTAGCTTTATTAGCAGGAAGACACCATTTTTCTTCTCAGTTATGCTAACTATGCAACGACTGTAAGGTGTAAGGATTCCTATCTGTAGGAAGCATAAGAATTTCTGCTAGAAATACAAATGTACCAATACAAGTAAATTACTAAAATGCTCCCTTACATTCACATCAACCCTTTGTAGGCTGCACCACTCCTGTGTAGTGATGCCACTGCTGGCAGTCAATGCAGTGTCAAGTGTAAATGGGAGCACAGGAAGCTGCAAGTGACAAAGTGACAAGAAATGCACTTTCAGTGTTCAGCTGCATAACCCACCAGGAGCACATTTTTAGTTGTAGGTCATCCATAGTAAGTTATTTTCTTCTACACAGTCTGATGTCCCATGGAGTACATTCAAGTGTTTACAAATACTTCCATAAAAGAGCAAAGCAGACTTTTTTATCAGGCAGGAAACAAAAGGTTCTTTAAAACTGTTTAATTACATGTTTCAGGTAAGCACAGACAATACAGGTAGATTTCCCACCACTTAATATTTACATTCTTTTCTCTAGGCTTGAGCTGTTCATTTAGAGTGTTTTTCAATCAACATCCCTGTCAATCACTTGCTGCAAAGAAGGGTGCTGGAAAAGAACTATTGCAGGAAACATTCCATCAAGGCATGATTTTCTGTGGTGCTTTTCTTCTTTAAGAACTACGTACTAGTAGTTCAAGAGATTTTGGGAAAATTCTGGCTTCCAAGATGACCTGAAGAATGCACTGAAACCAAGCAGTGTGTTGAAGTCCTATAAATAGTTAAATCAATACCAATATGTACCATGTGGACCTGAAATTCTCTTTTCACTGGCACTGCCATTGCTGTGTGGCTTCTGTTAGGACAGTTTTACACCAATTTTGTTTTGTTCCTTTTTCATTAGCCTTTGTGCCTCTTTCTCCATTTTCTTTCGCTGTTGTTCTGCTGCTCTTTTTTCCCTTTCTGCTATCTTCTGTTGTCTGTAATTAAAGAAAAGATGAATTGCTAAATAACACACACTCAATTTTCAGCATGGTCATACCTGAAATTCCTGTCAATACATAGGTTATTATAACTAACAAATACAGAGCAGTCTATTGTCATTAGGCTCAGAACAGTCCTTCTTTTACTGTGCTGAAGTCCTTTTTTCAGATTAATCTAGAATTGTAGAATATTCTGAGTTAGAACCCACAAAGATCATCAAAGTCCAACTCCTGGCCTACACAGTACCATCCCCACGAATCATATCATATGCCTGAGAGCGTTCTTCAAACAATTCTGGCAGGCTTGGTGCTGTGACCATTTCCCTGACAAGTCTGTTCTAGTGATCACACTCCAAGTGAAGAACTTTTTCATAATATCCAACTCAATCCAATCTAGTTTTAGGCAGTAATATTTGTTCAATTATTCAGCAATTTAAAAGCCACTAGCTTCTCAAAGATTTCGAGTAAATGAATCAGTGAGAGTACAGGACAGTTGTAAGGCCTAGAGCAAAAACTAAAAATCTAATACTTTCAGCAGCAGCTCGAAAGTTTTGAGTTTTTGCTGGTTTAGGGATTTTTTTGAGATTGTCACCCATTACTGTACATTCTACCTGACAGCTGACAGAGCTGTAAGTCTAGCAATATGCAGAGTAATAATATTTGCTACATTACAGTGGCAGATTTTTATATTTCCCACATATCTGAACTGATGCAGAAGGGAAGAAGCACTGTGCTTCTTCACCAGCCAATATACAGAGACAGTAAAGTTCCAAAAAGCCACATGGTGTTAATGCTGCTGTTCACATGCAGTTCTGAAAGGAGGGATCATGGCAGCTCCTGTTCCTTTCCCCAGGATGACTCGCAGGACACGGAGCTCCTGCGCACAGCAGTGGTTCCACGCCCTCTACAGTCTGGGAACCTGCACTCAGTTCTACCCAGAGAGAGACCTTCACCTCGCCTCAGACACAGCAACTGGCCAACAAAAATACAAAACTAACTGTTATAAACTAAAAATGTGTGAGCTTAACTGCTTCCACTGGGAAAAAAACTTCGTTGGTAATATAAAGTCTGAAGTTGTAGATGGGTATCTAAAATTTGCAGAAGAAACTAAGTTCCAACTAACTCAAGTTAACTGAAAATGAAGTTTGTCATCCACTACACCAATTCACCACTGACTGGAAAATTTCAGGGTATCCCAGCTTAGAACCTGTGGAAAACAGGGAAAAAAGAGACTACAGGAACTTCTCAGGCTCTGATAGCCTACTCTTCAGCACTTTCTTCATGCCTTAATTCCAGGGAGCATTTGACTTACTATATGTGCTCATTTCAGCTGTTATGCTTATACATAAACTCACCAGAGAGGCCACAGGATAGTCTTCACTGCTAATTAGCAGGACACAGCCCACTTCTGCATAACTGATCAGTACTCCTTTACTACACAAAAATTATTCTGGTCTTACTGAGCACCCACAGGTACCAGACACAGCAGGCTAAGGGACACCCTTACTTTTTCTGCACACTCATTTCATTCTCAAAAAGCACCACTGGAATACAGTCAGCATTAACACTCTGGAACATTAGGGGGATTCTGTCCACTATTTGGCAGTCTGAAATACTATACAAGCTTCTTTCAAGTGTTACACTTATGCATTAAGTCACCAGAGTGGCCACAGGATCTTCAGATCATTTTGCAGACCAAAATGCAGACTTCTATCATTAAGAAGAGACTCTGTAGCACTTCCTTACTACACTCAGTTGAAAACAGAGTCAGGCCTGACCAGCCTTAACTACGGTTAAGTTTGATGTTAAATGCCAGATGTTAGACACCAGTGATGTCTACTGCAAGAGAAACTAAACCCAGTCGGGATTTTTTTTTATCAATCTTGATAAAAATCAGCCATTACTTGACTCATTTACAGATAAACATTGTTATTTCTGTGTCATGAATAAAACAAAGGTTTTACTTCACCCAGCTGGGATACAGCTTACATAATGACCAGCTGTATAGAGGTAGCCAGCCATAGCTGGACAAGTGGTAAGCCATGGACATCTGGAGTTCTAATCATGTTTTATCTGCTGGAAGTATTTAGACACACATCCCTTCTATAACAACTGCAGTTCGGTACTTTTTAGTGAGGCCAAAAAGAAATCCTATGAGAAGTAACCATTTGAGTTGAACCCTTTCAACAGTAAAGATGGTAGACTGAAATCTTTAGGATAGATTCAACCAAATATCATGACACTTTGAAAAATTAAAGCTTGGGAAATCCCACTGCTATCACCATGTAAAAGATCGCTCTTCCTAAATATTCTAGAGCATGAACCTGACAGTTGGCAAACAATATAACTCTGCCCATCCTCAAAATATTCACTGCACACATTTTACACTGCAAAAATAAACTGGCATACACATACACCAGGTAATTTTTAATAGCTAATTCATGTATGACAAACCCCTGCTTCAGAAAGTCTGAGTACTACTTTTCATAGTCCTAAGACCATCGGTAATGGAGTGTGACAAGGGTTAAGTAAATACAATGCAGCCTCTGCAGTAGCAAAACTAGCTGTTTCATTTCTCCATTAAAAAAAAAAAAAAAAAAAAAAAGAGTATTTTCATTGTCTTTCATTTAAGTCTCAGCAGACTGCACTCTAGCTATTAAAGATCTTACTGAGTCTATTGATACTCTTTACAGGAAAAAGTAGTATCCATGGAACCAAATCAGCTCAAAAGCACATCTTTCATATCACAAAGCTTGTACTTCAGTACAAAACCTGAAACAGTAATAAAGTTTAAAAAAAAAAAAAAAGACGAAAAAAAGCAAGGTATTGACCAGAATGTACATATAGATACCAAATAAAGTTTACGAAAATATTTGCATTACAACCCTATTCTCACATGTTAAGCTGCTGCAAAGCAAAACTGACAGAGATAATAAATTGAATAAATTCTAATTATGATTAGCACATTGAATGAGCTGGTAACTTCCCTCTTGTCTCATTCCACAGATTGAAAATGTAAATTTCTCAAAACATTAAAATAAATACTTGTTTAGATTCCTCTTTTCTTTTCCCCACAATATCTATTTTCCTTAAAATTATTTTTGACTTTATAATGTCTTTATTTCTTATATTATCACTAGTGGACCACGGAAACCATGTACTTGTGATTAAGTGAGTAGAATTACAACAGCCTAGGAAGCTAAAGCTATCTGAGGCTGGTTACCTGATGATGTAGCAAGCAATAAAGTTTGATATAACTGTAAGTCACTACCAGTTCAAATCATTGCGTATGATAAACTTAATTTGCATCTCTTTACTCTCCATACCCCTTAAAGGAAGGGAAAAAAGAACACAAACTGAACAGCTGAAGTATTCACACTAACTTTGTGCAGGACTTTGATTTTACATTCAGCCTTATCAGCTAGTTTAGTTAAATTAGAAAAGCCTAGCTCCTACAGGGATTCCAAGAACATACTTATCACTTCACCTTCTATCCTGAACTATTTTTACCTTAAGCACATGGTTGTGATACTTTTAGTAAGGACATCAAGTGGTATTTTACCTAATCAAGTAATGTGATCTGAACATAATAAATTGTTGGGATTGGTGGGGCACCTGTGTGCCCATGTGTTAATGTGGTGTTCTAGTGTTCCAGTGATTTTCAGATTTCCTCTACTACCTCATTTATTAAATTAATTAGATCCAAAATGTCTTCTGGCGTGTACCAGTTACATAGAGATTAGATGCATAAAAATAATTTGTCTTAAGAGGTGTTTAAGAATTCTTGGCACTTACCAAAAAGGTATCAAATAAACAAATGTGATTCTTTTACATGTAAAACCTTTACATAGTGTTATATTAATTTCAGTTACCTAAGAACTTCTTCTGCCTGCCAAGCAGCATCTTCCTCTTCTTCCCAGGCATTTGTATTTTCTTGCCAAGTATCCAGGTCTCCTAGTTCAGGCTGAAACAAAGGAGAAGTTCTAAGCACATGGAAAAATTAGATAAAACACTGGTGTGTGACTGCCAGAGCGGCTCCTGGATGACAGCAAAGTTTCCTTAACATTTATTTTTATTTTTAACCTTAATGTTTCAGACTTACAGAAATATCTGAGGTATAGCAGTGCTTCTCATCTTATTGTCCATGCTTTTTTTCTGCTATAAATACTGAGTTTTTTCAGTTGTCAAAGGGTTTTTTGGACAAAGACAGGAAGGAAGTAATGGAGTACATTTTTAGCAAGAGGAAGATAGATTGAGCAGATTATATGAGTAGATAGTGTAAAAGATTTCTGGCAGTTGCATGGACAAACCAACACGTACATCCACATGTTTTTAAGTCCAGTATCAGCTGAGTAACACTTTTACTCACTAAAAGTCCTTTCCTGAACTATTTTCATAAAGGACAGTGCAAGGAGGTGGTATGATTATTCTGTACTGCTTCCTGCCTGTACCCTTTGATGCACAATGTTTATCAAAAGAGAAACACTGTTAAAAAAGGCAAAGGGCAAGGGAGGGAGAGCATCTCTTGCTATCTGGCCAGGCTGTTAGGCAGCTAGACAATTTTTTCAAAGGCTAAAGAGCAAAAATTAGGAGACTGCTACATTACAATCCCTACAAAAAGGAAGGGAGAAGCAGAAGGTTAAAAATGGGTCCAAAACAATAAAGCAAAGGTAACTTAGAGGCTTTCAAAAAAGCCTTCTACTTTTTTTTAGTAACTTACTGTGTAAAATCCAAAACTTACAGTTCATTGCTTTATCAGATTTGCAGGCCCGTAAGTATATGGAAGCTTCTTACCTTTTCATCACTGATCTGTCAAGTTTCTCAGCAGAACATATTGGATTACTTCATTTCTTCACTCAATTTTAAAACAATTTACATCCCCAACTATTCCAATTACTCCCACAATGAACACCTTAGGCAGACTATTCCTTCCCTTAGAGAATATAATTTAACTGACAAGATCAATACTTAAAGCATACTTACAGATTGGTGAATAAAAGGAATATCTTGTGTGGCTGCTAATCTGCTAGAGAATCCTGTGTTTCCCTCTGGAATCCCAAAATTTAAAGGCTCTCGTTTTTTAATAACTATCTGAAAATATTCAAAAAAAGAAACAAAAAAGTGGTAGATTAAAGCACTGCAGAGATTCCTTGGTGATCATATAACTATGTGCCTGTGAAGGTTCAGTTACACAACACCTCACTGTGTCTTAAACCTGACCAGGTTCTTCAAGCTGCACAGCCAAATGAACTTGTAAGTGAAAGAACGACAAATGCATGACAAGGACTCCGCCTCCCCCCACTAGCTTTTTCTTTAGTCACATAGAAACCTGTGACTGTATCAAAACAGAGAATGGGCACAAAGAATCACAGATCAAACAGTCACATCTCCCACTACTCATAAAAGCTATCAATTATGTAATATATTGCTTGGAGAAATCCTGCTTCTGTGACAGGTCACTTTAAGGTACTGCTTTTGCAGACAGTGCTGTCTGCACAATTGTACTGCACTGTAATGTCAGCTCTCTCAATTATTCCAACATCTGTGCAGTTTCAATAGCTGCAAATTCTCTGTCAACATTAACTAGCAAAGCTCTTAACAGGTTTGGCTGAAAAGCAGTGCTTTCCCCAAAACAGTTGCCAAGATCAAATATCCTTTTCGCTTGTCCTGACATCAAGTCACACACTTTGTTTAGCCTACTTCAAGCCTCTTCTGCTTCCCAACGAGGCAGATCCACAGTTCCACTGTCTGTAAGCTTGTACCAATCCAAGAAAGGAAACAGGACTAGACAATCTCATTGAGCAATGACAGACTGTTATTTGACTGAGGTTCTATTTCCAAATAGATCAGTATAGATGAGTGACAACATGAGTAGACTGCACCTCAAATCTCAGGGTTTATATTGAGACACTCAGTGGAAAAAACCACAAATTCATACTGAATGGTGTTAATTTGGCCCAGTTAACAAGGATGTTCTTTACAGTGCCTGCAGTCATCGCTAGAGATATATTTAATATAAACCCAGTGTTTAGCATGGACTCTTCCCCAGTTTTGTTCTGAACCTGAAGCTCATTTTATGAGGCAAAAAATGTCAGTAGATATAAAGAAGAAATCTACCTCTCCCTAGCCCTCTTCTACTCATCATATTTTGGGAGATCAAAATCCTTAGAATTTAGCCCATAGGATACTGCAGATCCTGAATGTACAGAAAACTGACACCAGTATCACCTCCAGTTCACAGGACCACAGGAAGATTCAGGTTGGAAGGGGCCTCAGGAGGTTTGTAATACAATCTCCTCCTCAAACCACTGTCACTCTAGGCTGATGAAAGTACTTAGGGCTTATCCACGTGGGGCTTAAAAACTTTCAGAGATGGAGGCTGCACAACTTCTCTGGTAACCTATTCCATTACTTGTGAGGTTTTTCCAAGTACCCAGCTGAAATATTTGCAAACAGAAACAAAACCTGCAATCATCAGATTTTAATCAGAATTTATTTACAACCTTGATGCTCCTGTAGAGATGCCCTCCTGTCTTGTCTCCACAGTAAAAATGGGTATTTGAAGAACAAACTATTTTGAAATATTAGTTCCCTAACTCCAGACTCCACAGTATAAGTTGGTGAAACAATTAACATTGTTTTCTGAAACAGCAGGGCTGCTCCCTCAGACTTCAATAGAGCAAGACATTGAGCGTCTTTGTTCAAATAAGGATATGAGCACAAATGACTAGAGGGTTCCCACATTATACTTCCCAGAACTTTTAGAGTATGAAACTATTCATAAGTTTCCAACAATACGAAGACTAATATGTAAACGTGATAGCATCACAATTGTTAAGATCTCAAAGGTCTTCATATTAAACATGATAACTACACACATCTATTCTCATTTACCAATAGCACCTTCTGTAAGTTGCCAATTTAGTTGCTTTTATTTTAAAGAAAGGAAAACCCTCCATAAATATAGTTGAAAATGTAATACTTACTTTTTGAGTCTTTCTTATAGTTGGTGCCATATCTTTGAAATAATCAGGTTCCATTTGTTCCAAAGAATTTTGCTGAGCAGCCACATTACCATTGCCACCTTCAATCTTCACACTTGTAGGTGCATCTTCATCCCATGAAGACCAGTCTTCTACTTCAGGCTGAATATAAGAATATGGTACAAATTAATATTATCTGCAGGTAAAAACTTGTCTTTTTTTATCTTGCTAAGATATATACTTAATACTGTATCACATATTATTATATATTTCACATATATCACATTATATTACATATTTCTTGGATATACACCAATTCAATATTGTAGGACTTCTATAATCACCCTGTTAAGGGATTAAGTCACCTACCACTTTAACAATTACCTGCTTAGGAACAGATGAATAATCCACTGTGGTTGGCAAAGTTATTTGGTCTCCACTTAACTTTCGCCCTCTTCCAGACCTGAAAAAAAAATGTAGGATTCCTCCAAGCTCTGAAAACATGAGCACTGAGTTTAAAAAAAACAAAAAATAGGAAGTCTGAGAACAGCACTACTGAAAACAGTCATGGCTAAAACATTTAGTGCTTCAATTACCTTTGTATTAACTACTGTCACTAAAAGTCTGCTAAGCAAAGGAATTTCATCATGAATTGAAAGTTGTGTTCACAAGAATATCAAAGTGCAATTTACTTTTCTAATTGCAGTGAAATAGAGGAGAAATACTTCTAAGAAATATTAAAATGGACTAACTCATCTGCATAATTCAGTCACAATTTTTAGACTGTCAGTGCTTATGAAGCAAGCACTAGCAATCTGTATTTGCCAAAGTACCATTTCTACTGTAAATGAGAAGTTTTTCTATTTGTCTTAAATTTTAAGCTGTGTCTAACAAATAGCTTTCTGAGCTGCTTGATTTGAAAGCCCCTCTGAAGCTCTTTTTTCTTCAGTCTAAACAGAGGTAATACAAGATTATGCAAGTTAATAGCTTTAATTCAATTCATGCTTCTACTTAAAGAATAATGTTTCAATGCATTTCAGTAACCATATAAAATAATTTTAATTGAAAACAACACTAGTGCATTGCAAATAAACCACCTAGATATCTACTTCATGACGTTCAAAGATCAGAATAATTAAAATATTCTTAGCTGACATTCATTGTATTTTAACACCTTACAACACAACAGAATGCAATTCAGACTCACATTTATGTTTTCCACAAAGAATGTAAGCCCCTACAGCAAAGTAGTCATGTAACTGACATTATGTAGCTTGGAAAATGTAATGGTTGTTTCTTACTAGAATGAGAATAAACTAGGAAAATTCAATTTCTAGTTTCTATCCATTAGTTTTAGTATTAGGGAACTTACTACCAACTGACTAGGTGAATTGCTTGTAATGACCTCCACTGTATGCTGGTGAATGACTTGATATATTTTTTCTACTAGACCAACATTCCTCCTTAGACAAGGTCAGGTGCTATAATCAAATTTTCAAGTTTTATATAATTACTCCCTTTATAAACTGTTCCTTCAAGTTTGAAAGCAACAGATTTTAGGTGTAAAGGAAGGTAAAAACACTGTTCCCTCAAACACATTCAGACCTCTACAACATATGCATCCTTAATACTATTTACATTCAATGCTATTACAAGCCATCACTTCTACACTGACTTTCTCTACATGATCTATGAGACAAGCAAGTGGCTTGTAACAAACATTAATCAGGTCAAAATGGTTCCAGAAACAGGGCTGGAGGTAGGAGGAAAGAGCTTTTGTCACACAACATCAGAAAGAATATAGTACACAGAGCAGCACCAAGGAAGGCTACAGATCTCCACTTCCTCTAGGAAGGGAACAAGATACTTATAGGAACAGCTGCTCCACAGCCACCATTAGACACTGATCACTGCTCCGAATGCCAAATGCCTCAAGAATTATTGGATTTGTTTCTCCTTACTAATAAGCAGCATTCAGATTTCTCAGTTGAGAGATAATTGGAGATTTTAAATGGAAGGAAGTTTCATCTCTTCTTATACTTACACATTTTATTTCCTGAAAACTGGATTCAGGCAGTCTGTTGTTTATCATGAGATTTAACTAAAGAAAGGACTAGTACTACATGTAAGCTCTATGTTGCCTAGAAAGTTGCACAATCTCTACAGGCACTTGTTCAAATGAAAACCTAATGTAAACTATGTCATCTAAGTAAGTACTAGCTGATATCCATTGAATTAAAATGCACGTTTAATTAAATCACAGTAGGTGATAATCAGGCATAGTTATATGGTACATTATATGGAGGGGTGCATTAAAGGAAAACAAAATTTATCAAACTACACTTTGCAGATGACAGTGAACAGAAGAAACACCTGTAGTTAGTGGTCTGAATTAATGTGATCCAGTGACTTGCTTATGTGAAAGACTTAATTTTCATTTCTTCAGCTAATTGTTATTAAGCAAATAAAGGGTTTTCTACTTTATGTACTCTGAAGCAATTTCTCAGCTGGTCATTTCACGATAGTAGGTCATTCAGAAGTTGGAAAAAAGAATGAAAATACTGTCACTACACTTAGAAAACAATTATCTGCTTATAAAAAATATCATTAGAGAAATGAAGGATTCACATAATTCAGAAGTTATGATCAACTCAGTGTTCTGACTTCTTTCAGAACTTGAACAGCAAGTATTCTTATTTTAATTTGGAATTCAAATCACAGAACTAAGGCTGATATCTATATAATTGTATGCAGCATTAAAATGTATCTTTCTAATGCTTCATTAGATCTATAAGTGAATTTACCAACAAGTCAAGAGCTTCCTCGAATTCTTGGAATAAGTAAAGGTGAAGAGGAAATAAACAGTTATTTTGTGTCTACCACATATTCTGCATACACTTTAATCCTCACTGGAAAGTAATTGTCATCATATACAAAAAGAGAATACATTTGTCTAGATTGGTATTTGTTTATGTAACCAACATGCTGCAAAAGTGGCAAGAAGAGCAGTAGTTCATATGACAGCACAGTGCCAAGAATTGCCTCAGGTACTCTACTACTGTATTATTGAACTCTACCACTCTTGAGGGTTTTTAGATTGCTTCTAAGTAGTACAGTGCAGCATTCATGAGTCTACAACTCAAAAGAACACCACATATGACTTTAAAGTAAAAAAGAAACCATTCTTCATCATTAAAAACAAAAGAAAAAAGCCGTTCCCTTGAACTTCAATCACTGTCTTCCAAACTTCTGAAAGAATCTTCAATAGGCAGAAAGATGAATCTGAAGTCTCAGGCAACTGTTTTTTGACGAACAGGACGAGAATTGCCTACATCTGTAATGACAGCCTACTGACTGATGACAGAGTGGATGCTCCTATTAACTGAAACTCTTAAAACACAAAATATCACTTGCTAAGCACTTTTCAAAAATGTGCAGCACAGCTTTTCTTCAAGTTTGACATGGAATAGTTTTAAAAGCTATTTTAAAACCCTGTCATAGCTGTTTACAAAAACTCATTCAGCTACCATACAACAAAATACACTCACAAATACACTACACAGACTTTTGGAACTCTGAATAAATAGCAAATTAAAGAATTCACTTGATTTAGTTTTCATCTGTGTTGATTGTTTTGCAATTAGTAAAATCAGAGCTGGTAGAAGTGGTGGCTGGGTGCTGGGAGAAGGGCAGAAGTGCAAGAACCTGCAATTGAAAAATTGAAAAAAAAAGGTAATCAAATTAAGTAAGAGTTGTTTACCTGCATATTAACTTTTTAATGAAAGAAAGCACTGCTGCCAGGCAAGTACAGACTTTAAAGAGTCGAAACTGTGTTATGGCCATGGTAAGAAACCCTTCCTGCAAAAGAAAAAAGTTAGATGCAGAGGACTTTATAAACAACTTTATAAAGTACTTAAAACCAATTGCCTTAGTTGCTACTAAGCTAGGAGCATTCTGTGAGACTGTATTAATGCAAGGAAAGAGAGCAGGTACCTGGAACAAAGACGCTACCTGCCTCCTATCAGGATATTTCACTGATGTAATACAATTATCTAATATACATGACCTTTAAAGAAACAGCACAAAATCACAGGTAGAGTTGAAGTTAAAGACACACTTAAAAGGGAAGCGTAGGCAACCATCTGCAGTGCCTGTGCAGCTGATCTGTTTCAGACACTACTAGTGGTACTGAACACTGGCAGTGCAAAACAGAACAATCATCAGAGAGAAGCTCTTGTTTGAGCATGTCATGCATATACAAATTACAGATGCAGTCATTAAGTGAAATCCCAAAATTAGCTGTTTAAATTTACCTTCCATTTTGATGGAAATGTATGATGAGAACACTGCTTATTTTAGAACTAGTCTCACTGAAAAATCATCATTGAAGAAAGAGTGTTCATCCTGTGTGAACTACTGCACCAGCTAACCCACAGAGCTACTGATATTTCTGTGCCTGACTGGATCATGATAGCAAACACAGAAAAGAAAAAATTCATCTTTGGCTGAAGCCACTCCTGTTTGTAGCTATTTATTCAGTTATATTTATCATATCACATCATTCCAACATACCACCTTGAACAGCTACAGACTGACTCAGAAAAATCTGCTGGAATTCAAGGATCCCTTTTCTCTTCTATAGGTGAACATTTCAGAGTAAAGAATAAGAGGTTAGGCTTCACAAATAGTTTTACATTATAAACATCTATAACATCTTGTAACAACATTTTCTGTTGCAAGTTTAACATACCTTCTGGTGAGAAGAGAAGGCAGCCCTGTGACATTTTCCTCAGGCCATGAGTATTCCATGGAAGGACAGCGTGATTTCAAATATGCTATGGCATTTAAATCACTTTTTATATTCCAGGCTTTAAGTTAGGAAGAGTCAGGAAGGTGGATCATTAGGTAGGCTGCTCCAATACTGTCCTAAGGATTTTATTAAAAAGGTACACAATGGGATTTGTGAGCTTCATGGAGCATAGATGTATTTTTATTGGTGCTCATTTGCTAGATAATGTAACTACTATTAAACGCTGTTGTAATACAGTACTGGAAATGGTGCTTTACATGTAGTTCATGTACTGAAAAATCATATAGGAGCTAATAAACAGGCCCTTTTACTACAAAATGGAAGGCTTAAGTTAGTAGTAACCACCAAATTACAGATAGCACTACCGAGCTGTAGCTCAGGAGAAGGGCTTCATAGGACACATATCACCTCTACTTCAACATTTGTGTTATCGTATTTTATTTCATGGGAGACTTAAAAATGTAGAGAACTTTATACAAGGTTGGATTGGCTCTTTATCTATCAGAATTAGAAAGCAGTCAGTTCCCACAAAGAAGCAAGAACAGACATTGTCCGACATATTTAGCTTTTAGTTTAAAAGACTGGACCATTATTTCATATTATGCTCAAGCACTTCCTTACCTTTTAGAATGAGCAATGTTGACAATACCTAGATTACAGAAGAATGCATCAATCAAGACTTTGAATGATTAGGAAATAATGGAAGTGAGTGAAAGAAGAGTGAATAGTAATAAGATGGAAAGTTCTCTATCCTAAAGGTAGAAATTATTGCAAACTAACACGGAATTGGTGAAAGAAAATATTATTTTTAGGAAAGGCAGCTAGAAGTTATCTGCCTGGGATGTGAGGCGTGTGACCTGCTAAAATTATTATAAAGGCACATCTTTCTGAAAGGAAGCCTGTTTAGAAGCTCACTCTACTCTACCAGAATTCATTCTTTTATCAGCTTGGGGGGCAGGAGGGAAGGAGCAGAACAGTACTGGATATTAGCAAGAGTAAAGCTCTTTTCCCTCATTCAGGCTATCTAACTGCTACACTGGACAGTATAGACAGACCTAAATTTAAAAAACTCCTAACTACTGACTGAGAAGGTTGTTTTAGGAAGCCACCAAAAACCTTTGCAGACTCAATATTATTTATGCCTAAAATCAAGGAACTAGGAAGACTGCTAAGTGCAAAACTAAAACCAGAACAATGTTCAAGTGTGTCAGTCACCAATACATATATTTATATGCGTACATATAAATGAGCCCAGTTTTCAACTCATTACGATTTTTTCATGTATCAAAATGTATACTGTATTGAGTTTTCAATATAAAGTTAAACAATTGAAAAAAACCATAATCCACAAGAACTCTGGCTTGCAGAGTCAGTGGACTTGTGAAGTCCACAAGAACTAATCACCAAAAGTTAATCCATTTCCCAGGTCATTCCCATATAAGAGTGACTATATTTCCAGTATCACCAGTATGCCCATTTGGCAGAGTTCAACAGCTATCATTATGCCCATGACAATCAGATAACTTGCACCTCTCCACTTTCCACATGTCAGGAAAAGATTTCAGGGTTACAATGCGACATATGGCCAGTTAACATTATTTGTGATAGAGCTGCATTTCATCTCAGCTGAGCTAGAACTAGGCCCTTCAAAGGCTGGACTTGATGACCTTGGAGGTCTCTTCCAACCTTACTGACTCTATGATTTAAGACAGTAAGTACTGTTTTGCCCACCTCTTTTCTGAGCATTGATTGCAGTCTTCCCAGTTAAGCTCCCTACACTATAAACTATCAGATGCACAACCAGAGTTTTGTCAACAATATGCTATCAGCCAGCCACAGTAGTGTTAGCAATCATTTACCTTTAAAAAGAACTTTCCTCAAGGTTCCTGATTTTTATACTGCTATTTATCATATGAAGCAGTATATATGTATTCATTTAATTAATACTATTATTTATAAATTAATTTAAAACACAGTCTTGAACCAATTATTGTCGCAAGGTAAGGAGAAGTAAAGCATTTTCCCCTTTGTCTGAAACAGCACTTGAAACATGTGCATTTTGCTCTAAGAACAGCACTACCTGAAAAGTTAAAGGTTTGCTAAAGGTTTTGAGTTTCGTTTGGTGCCTTTTGGGGCTGGGTTCTTTTGTGCTTGGGAGTTTTTTTATGTTAATTAAATTTATCAAGGTAAACCATTTTATATTCGGAAGTAGTTGTATAAATACACAGAACCCAAATTTTCCTCAGTTCACTGCAAACTTAATTCATGTGATACCATTATACTAAACTTGTGAAGTGAAACAACTTTTTTATCCTTTTCTTGTCCATCTTTCTCAGACATTGGAAAGAAGCACAGCCATGTACCTTCTCTTTCTCCTGGGAAAAATACTGAACAGTGTAAAGATAAATGGCAGGCCACAACATTCATTCTTTTCTTAAGCCTTTCCTTGATAAACAATCCCAAGAGGAACCACAACTGTATCAGCAGTCAATTATAACACAGGATGACAGAAACATAATGCAAAGTTGCAGTACTACATCAAGAATCCTAAAACATTTCTTAACAGATAGAGGCAAATGTGAAATACTGGACTAAAATTCAGAAAATCTGGCAAGGGTTGTCTGCCAGCCTGATACATCCTTCTGTGTATCACACCTCATGCCTCAGCTTTCCATTTATAAACCAGGATAGATTTCCTTCTCCCACTGCTGGAATTGCTTTGTTACATCTATGAGACTTAGGGTCAAATGAACTTCCACTACAACAGATATAACCAAGCAAATAAATCAAGACATGAATCCTAATCAATTTAATACTCATGGTCAACTCAGCAATTCTGTAACAGACACCAAATTTAGCTGGAGTTTGACTTGTGCATCTCATACTGTGTTCCACTGTAAAAAGTCACAACACATGGTCACATAGAACATGAGCCCAGAAAGGACTAAAAGACAACAGCCATGAGATGTTATACAATTTAGATGAGATTGTTATACAATTTAGAACCAAGTCAGAAGAATGAGGAAACTCAAACATTTTAGAGACCCATAAAGGAAATAAAATGAAGGGAGGCAAAGTTCAGAATTTTATTGAACATTTTTACTTTGCTTACAGCTTGCAACAGTGGCCTCATTAGAACTCCTGGTACCTCTGACTTCACTGACTGTAGCCAGCATAGTCCACCCTCAGGTGGATTGGTTAATCAACTATGGTGCAATGAGCAAGATTCCCACTATTTATCACTGTACAATAAGCACACTAGCACCTGGAGAAACACTTCCTCTTTCATATCTAACTGTACACACAAATACCACTTAAGAAGGATTTCTACAGACAGAGTCAATTCTAAAATAAAGTCACTTTGGGGCACTAAAATTATTTTAGGAACTTGTTTCCTGCTAGTGAACTCATCTTTTACTGTCACATCAGCTTTCCTTCACATCAGCTCACTTGTAACTCTGGAATGTAAACATGAACACACCTTGGAATCAGTGATTTTAGCCCATATTAAACATAGCTAGATAAATAACCAGACGATGATGCTTAAAATAACTTGTCCCAAACTGAAATGCTCCCCTCCAATTTACATAAGGAGACACCAAAAATGCTTCACCCTCCTAAAGCAAAACAAAAAATTCATTTCCTAGTACTAAAGACTAACATGGCCTTGAGTGTTTACATTTGCCAGCACCAAAAATGCATACTGGTTCAGTAGTGCTTTTGTGTTGTCACTAGAACAGCTAACAATACCCTAGCAAAGTTTCAGTGGTAAGGATAGAATTTCTTAAAAGGGGATCCTGTATGAAGTTCTAGTAGAATGGCCACATCAAAGATCAGAAGTAGGTTTATAGGGAGATGGAATTTTTTTAAGATTAGTAGATAGAGATAAAAAACCTATTTTCAAGCACATAAACCCTCCTCCAAATCATGCATGTTATAAGATGCAGAAAGACACTATGAATTTTAAAAAAGACAACGTAATGATTCAAGAACAGCTTTCAATCAGGTAAAGAAAGACAAAACCAGCACTTCCTGCATTTCAAAGATAGAGCCATGACCCTGTAGCCTACTGAGAAGTTCCACTGCCCTCTTCCTGGTTGATTTTTTGGTCTCCTGGTTTTTTCACCACTTTACACAGAAATAGAATATTGGGAACACATGTGTGGAGGGAAAAAATCCTGTCTTGACCACTGAGTTTGATAAATAGATACATTAAGTGGCAGCATAACTGAACCCTAAAGCCATGCTATTATGGCATTAGGGAGAGAAGCAGAATGAAAAGGGAAGATCAGGAGGCATCTCCTCTATCTAATTGCAGGTAAGTGATTGTGGGATGTTTGTAAAGGTACTGTAGTTCCAACACTGATGTTCCAACTATCAGTGCACATAGCCTAACTATGCAGTTGAAGTAGCTGGGGCAGCTACAGTAGCTGGACAGCTCACTCACATTAATCACAGGCACAGTAAAGTCATCTAAGGCACTCAAATCCAGAAAGATATACTACTGAAAGCTGCAGAAGATACCGAAAGTCAAGACAGAATGTCTGTCTCTCTAAATAAAGGCAGCAAAAATTGGTGACTGCTGGCAATTCCTGAATTATTTCTAGACACTAAATACTCTGATATACAACACAGAGTTTCAACTCTTTTTTAAACATCTTACTCCCAGAGTCATAAAACTTCTGCAGTAATACCACCACATATCACCTCTTCCTCTCCAAGAAAGTGAACAGAGCTACAACCTCACTAATGTGAACTCCTGAAGCTTTCTGTCTTGAATTACAATAAATTCTACTCTTCAAGGCAATATTAGTTAAGATAGAAAGTTTACATCTACTGAAGTTCAGTTATTCTTTGACAACTCCTTACCTATATGTCACTGTCTTGTGAAAACCAGCATACAAAACACAGCTTGAAGTAACGCAATCTTGTGAGACCACACTGTAACTTCATTCACTTCATAACTATGCAACAAGTCTTTTACATAATGCACTAATTCACGTAACTCACTTCACAAAACTGAAGTTCTCAGACACAGAACCAGAGTTTGAGAGACCCCAGCTCTGTTCCACTCCTTATTTGCCATCCGTGACCTAAGTTTTCTGTAACTACATGGAATGCCAAAGACAACAAATTAACACACTCATTGTTACTACTACAAAATTGTCTTGCAATGCCTGTGTTGATGAGAAGGAGCTATTTACAAACAATGACACTATAAGACAGCCTAAAGAAGTCTCTGCAGTGCACATGTGTACCTCCACAGGGCTATAAAGCAGCAAGCTATGTCATTTTTTCATTAGAGATGCAACTCAGGCACTTACACTGTGAATTTATGACCAAAATGCAGTGCCCTACCATTCTACTGTCCAGCCGAGTCTTGAGTATTATTAGAGACAGCACCGAAGCCAAATAGTAGCACTTAATTTTTCTGTGAGCTGTTAGAGATTCTGAAGCATTTAAAAGCGTGCTAAGAAATTTTCATTCTATATATTATTAAATTTGCCCGTCAGCGTAAACAGTAGGTAACCCCAACAATGCCGTCCCACCACGAGTTCGGACAGGCCGTGCACCCTCGCCCTTTCCCACAGGGTGCGAAGCTGCCCAGTTCCCAAACGCTGTCTGTCTACTGGTCCGCCACACCATGCTCTTCGCAACCCATGAGATCCCCCCACTTCGCCCCGGAAGAGGCCCCGACCGGTCGGGCAGAGGCCGCGGGCTTGGCGCTCCCGGCCCGGCCAAGCAGCCCCGGCGCTGGGCGAGGGCCGCGGGCCCGGAGCGCCCCGAGCACGGGGCAGAGCGGCGGTGCTGCGGGAGAACTGCGCGGGCAGCTCTGTCCCGGGAGGGAAGGCGCCGAGACCGGGCCCCTGCCCAGCAAGGCGGAAGCGGCACCCGGCGGCGTAGGAACAGACCCTCCCCGCTCACCTGCCCCGGGGGGGAGACCTCGCCAGGAGTCGCGGGGCTCCAGGGGCCGAGGCGGCCGCTCCCGCAGCCTGCGGCCGCCCCTCATCCGGAGCCGGGCCGGCGCTGCTCCGCCGCCGCCCCGCACACCGCCATCTCGGCCCCGTCTCCCGGAGACACGCCCGCCCCTTCCGGCCGCACCGCCTCCCGGGCGCTCCGCTCCGCTCCGCTCCGCCCGCCCGACCCGCTCGGTCCGCGGGCACTCGGGGCCGTCCGAGCGCCTGGGGCAGGGTTGGGACGGAGCCGTGCCGGGCTGCCCGCGGCCCGCCCCGCCAGCGACCCGCGACATACCCCGCCCGCCTGCCTGCCGCCCCCACAGTGGCTTGGGGCGTCTGAGCCGGCTCTTTGGCCTTCCGGGGAAGTGCGAGAAAAAGGCGTTGGACTTCAACCGTGTCGGGTTGCTGCACACGTGGCAGTAAAGGTGTTCCTCTGTGGTCGATGGGATGCTGAGCTGTAAATTTGGATGTTACTAAAAAACAAACATTGCTTGAAGTCGCTTCTGACAGGTGCTGCCCCAGTGTCCCAGTTTATTCACCAGCTGCTTGTCCATTTTAATGGCTGGTTAAGTGATGTTAATGTTGAGGCGTTCCAGAGCTCTGTGTAAACCTCCAGTTGTGTTACACTCTGTAGGTTGAGGAAAAGGGGGTGTTTATCTCTTTCTCCCGTGGAAATCTAGTCAGTTCTACAGCAGCACTAATACAACGCTCCTTTCAACTCAACTCCAAGCTGTAGCACTCAGTTCTTTTTGTGGTCTTTAAATATCTTCCAGTAAAGACTTACTGTTCTGCCACAGGGTTTACTCAGCTGCTGTGTTCCCTATGTGTGTTGGCAGTGAGGAGATGGATGAAGGATGATGGCTCTTGTGAGGAGGCACGGGTATCAGATAGGGTTCCTTCATTTCCCTTTTCCCATGCCCTAACAGACACCATGACTGCATTTCCACAACTCTTCATCAGGAAACAGGCCCCAAAGGGATAAGGAGCCAAACGTGATATATCTGACCATGGGGCAAGAACCCTGCCAGCCAGCACACGAGCACGGTGATCTGGGGGCAGCTCAGAGTCCAGACTACCAGGCAGGTTTCTGGTGACGAGGCACATCAAAGGACAAGCCAGTGAGTCTGCACTGGTCCGAGATCAGTAGAGAGCATAGCAAGTCAGAACACGGTTGTGCCAAGCTTATGGGCAGCACTCCTGTGATGTTGAGTTGGGGATTGACATCCTTATGCCTGCAGAACCCACCTTCAATAAGAGAAACACATATGCAATGCTTGTTTTAACATTAAAACCATTTCAAAACCATTTGTGTAGCAGAGGTATACCTTTCAGTATAACTTTTGTAGTATACCTTTCAGTATAACTTTTGTAATAAATAGGTGTGATTCGTGCTGATAAAATTGAAACATTAATATTGATACAGTAATTCATATTTGGAAATAATAAAACAGTTAAAGGTGTAATGCCAAGAAAGAAAGGGAGAGGAGGGGCTCCCTCCCCCCCCGCCCCTTTCTCCTGCAGATGTTCAGAAGAGGAAAAAGCAAGAGATAAGTATTACTAAATTTAGTTGGAAGAGAAGAAAATTTGGTTAGACATCCAAAAAAATGTTAATTTTATGAGATTTATTGCTTTGATACTAGAACATAATATTGGCTTATATTATATTAGCTCTGGCTTACATTATACCAGCTTGGTGCTCATGTGTAATCCAAAAGGTGAATCAAGGGACATCGAGGAAGAGGAGAGGCCTTCATCAGGGACGACCCCCAAAGAGTGGTATTACCACCTAAAAAATGGTGGAGCATGTGTGGTAAAGGTGATAATGAGGGCAGAGATACAAGTGTGACGAACCAAAAATGGGAGGGGATGGTGATGACATACAGTATAAAAAGGGGAATTTTGGGCTTGGCAAACTTGTACGTGAGGTGACGGGGGTCAAGCCCTGCCCTCCGTACCCCGCGCTGCCCCATGCGGTTATTTTTGCTTGTGCGCTATTATCAGAACCAAAATTATCCCTTATTTCAACCAAATTATATTGTCACTATTTTGAGTGTATTCAATTTTATATATTTTAAGCTACTTCATTAAAATTGCTGCTACATTTAATTTTGTTTGGTTTTCTTTTATGATGGGATAATTGAGCAAATATAACACTTTCTACCTGAAGCAGAAACTCGAAGATATTCTTCGTCTGCATTCACAAAGGAAAACAAAATTCCAAGCATGACACACTAGGAAAGGTCAGGTTACGAAGTTACATTTCTTTTGAAAACACATTCAGGTTTTGGCATTACAATATATATATATTCACTGGCGACTATGCCACAGTGAGAAGGAACGATTTTAACATTTAATTTCATTCCAGGAAAGGAAAGGAAAGGAAATTTGATTGATTATCAGGAAATGAAACAAAATTTTGCAAAACAAGAAAGAAAGATTTACACTCCGGAAATGAGATGTGATGAAATTAAATGCAATTGAAAAACAAAAATAAAATTGAGAAATTTAGGGAATACAGGTGGCTCTCAGCCAGTCACAAAGGCTCAGAATATAATATCCAGCACAAACAGAAGGCACAACTGGGGATACAAGCATCATAAAAACACACTAGCACAGGAGAAAAAATCAATGAGGAGGACAGAACACTGAGGGGAAGACATGAGAGACATGGCATGGATACTGAAAAGAAAAAAATCTTCGCTGAAGTAAAAAAAACATCAAAAGGCGTGGGATGGCATGAACTGCAGGATATGGACAAAAGCTTATCCAAATTAATCCCCATTGAAATGACAATATTTCATTTAGTATTTCTAAGTCCTTATTTCCAAGATTTCAATAGGCATCAGTTCTGACAAGCTTTGGTCCATGTCCCTACACTTCATGGCATCCCATGCCATTTGACAGCTTACATTTTGGCGAAGACATTTTTTTTTTTCCCCAATAACCATGCCATGGCTCTCATATCTTCCTCTCAAAGTTGTGTCTTCCTGCTTGACCTTTCCCCCTGCTTTTGCAGCATCTGTGAGGTTAGTTTTGGCATGTTTTGTCCCTTTGCACTGCACCTCATTTAATCCCAGTCCATTCTCTTGTAGTCACTAAATTTCCTAATTTTTTTTCTTCTACTGCATTTCCTTTGATCATATCTCCTTTCCAGAGAAAGGAGTTTTATGTATATGTTTTATGCATATATACATCTACACTTTATATAAAAATTGCGAGAAAATCTTACCTACACTATACACCTAAATGCACAACAGGTCTTTGTGTGGCTGTTGCATTATTGAAAAAATAGTGGAAATTGGCTGACCTGTAATGGAAAATAAGTCTTCCCTAGAAACATAATTATGCAGTTTCAAAATTAATAATATGAAAATTTATTAATTTTTTAAAGCAATGTTCACAGGGATAAATTCTTCATTGTTCAAAAATGTCATTAACCCCCAGCTGTGAAGTTTTAACTTAGATTCCTTTGGCTCAGTTCATTTTCCTAAAGAGTTCTCCTATTGTCTTGCTTATTTCATTGCCATATTGAATGCAGTAGAGCTACAGTAAACTCAACAAGTTTGTTAGAGAACTAGATATTTTTAATATCTTTTACAGATATTAAGACTTAAAAATGTTAAACTTGTTACATGCTAAACATGCAAAACATTACCTGACAATTTGCAAGAGCGCTAATGTCACTTCTTTGACATCTATGGCAATTTCCATCACTTCAAATTTTGATAGTTCCATTATCCTGCTATATTCATGTCTACTCAATAAACTCATTCTATCTGTAAAAGTTATTCAGTCGCTTTTTCTATATGAATTCTTCCTCTTAAGAAGGAGGAAGAATTGCTTCATTTGTTTGTTTGTTCTCTCAAGTGGTTTATTAAAGCTACAAATAGCTTTTTAATTAAGAGTACCTCTCCTCAATCACACTCCTGATGCATTTTGTAGTAATTCAAGTTTTACATTTATGGAATAAATTTTACCTACTACAAGTGTTTGATTCTCGTAAAAGTAGAGTTTTCATAGTTCTAACCACAAAGAAAAATGCAGGTTTTTACTGTAACATTCAGAAGTAATTTTATACACTGCTGCTACAAATTTAATCATTAAAATATCTTGAGACTCCAGATGAAGAGGCATTTCAATTGTTCAATACGTTTTCCATTCCTTTGCAGTATTCCTGAGCACATATTTTGGGTAATATCTAAGTATTGTGCAAATAATTTGCCTAAGTTTAGACAAAAGTGTATCCTAGCCTGGGTAAAAAATATGACCCAAATAAGTAGCCAAGTAGTCAGTCACAAAAGCCCCTTTCCTTCTCTAAAGGTCTTCCTGGCTGAAGCTGTGCTCCTCTGCCTCTTGCTGGCATATCTTTAATTCCTTCCCTTATTCCCACTCAGGCTTGATATACCTTGTAGTGGAAAATTCCAGACCAGCGATCTTCTTTCTGTAAGAAAATTCAACAGACTGACTTTTAGCAAGCATATAATGTATAAAAATAGTATTTGTAACTTTGAAATGGAGCATATTCCAAGCAGCTTTTTTGGAAGCAGTGGCCAAGAGAGGCCAAAGAGCAGCAGTGACTGTCTAGGTCTCCCTGAGCTCAGGCAACTGTGTGGGTCTGGTGTTGTGCTGGACTCGGCAGTTTCATTGCACTCCGAGAATGTCTCCTGGGTTCTCTCTCCCTTAAGCATCTCTCTCTGAGGCACCGACCTTCACACTGCAGCCTGGCCAGCTGACAGGACGTTTTACAAGGCAGAATCCCCAGTCAGCTTAGAGGAATATCCACGCCATGTTGAAACAGGCAGGTTGTTTTTTTCAGTGTTGTAAGAACTTGAGGTGATAAGAAATGTGTGACTTTTAGCCTAGTGTTGAGTAATTTCCTGAAGAGATTATCCTGGGTTCTTGTCTCCTTCTGCTAAGGTGTTTCTGTATTTAATATGATGAGTTAATATGCAGAATAGATGGTAGGAGTGGTACCAAAATCCAGTTTTCTTTGTCCCTACAATATTACTCATATTGCTGAACTCAAAATTCAGGAGAGGATAATGGGACCTCTTTTTTTATACACCCAGTTTATCACTTCATTACTAAACAGAAAATCTTCCTTCCATCCTGCAGCCATTAAGCAATCTTTC